GTTGCCTTCAATCTTTTGAATAGAAAGAATTAAAAACATTTATATAGTAATTTAATTATTTAAAAAGGGTTTAAAAGGATTACGAAATTCCTAACCTAATAATACTTATTATAGACTTTAATAGAAGGTTTAAAAAAGCCGCTATTACTATTTACTTAAACGTACTATACTAATTCTATATATAGTATATTATAAAGAATATAAATTACTATATTAAAAAGAAGTAAGTTTAGCCGCCCTTAATTAGCAGTAATAGTAGTAACGATCCTACTCCCGATATTAACTTTTTAAATTTCCCGCTAATTACCCGGGATTTAAATAGTAATAGTCTTAATCCCCTATTATACTGAAGCCCCGCGGCGGCTGTTAATAACAAGGTTAGCGATAATAATACCGACGATACTAACTGCCTTCCTTAGTAATTTAATAATAAATAAAGAATTCGTAATATAATTAATAAATCAATAATTAAAGTTATCGCTCTATATAATTATAATATACTAACTTTTAACCTTATTTATCAACTCTATTTAAATATATATAAAGGCTTTTGAATTACGTAGAGATAAGTAGTTTATATTAATAATAAAGATTATTTTAAAAGGGTATAGTATTTAATAGTCTATAAATTTAAACGATAGATTCGTACGTACTTAATACCCCCCCTTCTTCTTTATAACCGCTAATAACCCTTTATTATAATACTTCTAACGTATTTATATAAATACTACCTATTATAAATCGACGCATTTAATAACTGTATAATATTGATGCTTAAAAATTATGATATTAAAGTATTTAGTAGAATCGAATTTATATATAGAATTATTAAATGCTTCCTTAAAAACTGCTTCTCTTCTTTAAATTAATTATATGAGTATATATAATTTATTTACCGCTTTTAAAATGAAGTATTTAAATTTAAATATATAATAGCGAAGTAATTATTTTTACATAAATATAAAAGGGTAGGGATATTTAATAATTTAATATTAAAAGTAGAGTATAATTTTATATTATTACCCTTATAAATATAATTACTCCCTTTTACGCTTTAGAAGTCTAATTAACTAACCTCCTTTTTTTATATAAATAGCGCTATATACCCTCAAATTTATATAGTACTAGTACTATTACGTATATAATGATTAATTTAAAGATTTATAATAAGATTTAAATATTATATATAAAAAGGTATTTATAACTTAATATAGTTTACTTTATAAATACTTTATATTAAAATTATTATAAATAGATCCACTACTAATATTAGCTATAAAGGATATAAATATATATTAGTAATTAAAATTAAACAAGAGTACTAGGTTGACTGAGGTTAAATATTATATTTATACGATTCAAAACCCTACTACCTTATCTAGCCGCCGACGATAAATAACTATCCCTAATTTACACTTTATAAATTATATATATAGAATATCGGGACGAAACCTTATAAACTCGGAAATTTATAAACTATATAATTTCGAAGGTAATTAAAATTTTATTTAATTTATTCAACCCACCCAACCCGCCGCGCCCGCTACTATTATGCTTAATAACTGCGATTGGTATAATAATTACTATATATTCTCTTACAACGAATTTCCCCGCTATATAATATAGCGAAATACTTAAAGAGGAGGGAGGAGAAGGGGTATATAGAGAAAGAATATATAGAAGGCGTCCTATACCCGTAATAATATTACTTTAGAAAAATTATAGCGAGCCGTTATAAAGACAATTAATAATATGGCTAATAATATGGCTAAAATTATTATAGTATAATTAATACTAATTCTAACGCTACTAATACCTTTTCTAATACCCTCTCCTTCGCCATTTAAAGCTCTAACCCCCTTACCTTCGCTTTTTTACTAACTTCCAACTCCCTTATAAAGAATTCTAATACCCTCCTTATTTCCTTATTCCTAAATCTAATAGTAGCCGCCAATCTAATATTAACTATCTTATAAATATATACTAATTCCTACCAATTCTAACTAACTTAATTATAGAATACTAGCGGCTATTAAATAATTAATACCTCGGCTAAAGTAAAAAAACCCTCCCACTTCTAATTAATAATAAAGAAGCTTATAAAGCTAAATTATATTAGTAATATAATATAATCGAACCTTAGCCCTTATAGTACCGCTTCTAATACTTTCAATATATTTATAGGGATATATAGGAGCTTTCTAATACCTTCCTTAGTATCTAAGTATAGGTAATACTTATATAGCGGGTATTAAAACTAGGGTAGGTACGTATACTCTAGGCACTTATACGGCGGGTATTAATAATATAAGGGATAGCAATTATATTAGTAGGAACTATATCAATACCCTCCGCAATAGACAATTGATTAGATTGATGACTCTGAATAGCCTTACGTAAAAAAATAACAACGACGATGTAAATCTGGTGATGCGCGGGCCTCAATTGCACGGCTGGGCTGGCTGGGCTGGGCTGGCTGGCTAGGCTTACTCAGCGATAAAAAGTGGGGGGACTACCCAGGGATCATTTCGGAACTACAGCTAACCTTTGCGTCGCTAGCACCATTTTGGTTTTTTATCGCGATGGTGTCATGGTGTGTTTTCTAGCCTGAAGCGCTGGAGTCTTTCTCATTTTCAGGCCATGTCTTCAGTGGGAGACGCGCTACACAAGGACAAGCCAGATGGCACTCCGCTGCGCTAAACTCGGTCCTTTTTCGTCGCTTCAGACTAGAACGGAAATCAAGCCAATCTTTGCTTATTTCTTGGTTATCTCCTCCCTCCTCCTTCGTCTCATCATCCTCGCTCCCGCAAGTCGCAAGATTTGAGATTTCGGTTGTTCTTTTTTCGGGAGCGGTTTCAGATCATGGTCTGACAATGGCATGGCGAACCCAGAAGAGGAGACCCAGAAAGATGATGGAAGCCGGGTTGTCATGGAATTTCAGCGATTTCATGCATCTCATGGATCTACACAGTATCTGTCACTTGTCGTATTGAACTCCCCTGGCTTTCCAGGCCTTCGGGGTGACCGCTCACACTCACAGTGAATGACTTCCACTCAACTTCTGTTACAGATTTGGTATTATCCTGCCACATGTGCCAACTGCTGAACCTCCGCTTCAACTTCCACAATATGTAAGGTAGGCAAGGCGGAAGAGCGGGAGCGGGGACAAACGGCGAAACTGTACTGCATAGGTATGTACGTGCATGTATGTTAGTCCTATCTCCAACGTTGACGGCCGCGGGAAGAGGAGATGCATTCTGCATGCTACTGCTGCATTATCCTGCATTCTGCACCGGTCACAGCTAAGATGCAGAACCCATCACCGTAACACAAGAGGCACCGGAACCACTCGTCGTTCCTACACCCGTTTATGTTAACGACGACAGGCTGGGGTCCATCTGGAAACTATAACACTAGAGGTACCTACTGTGTACAAGCAAGTCCCCTACCTACCGCCAACAACACCAAACACAACCGATCTCTCATCTCATAACAAAAACACATCGCAAGTTGGAATGAAACAACATGGCAAAGCGGAGTGCTTTTCTATTCACCATCACAGCAGCTCCCGGCAACAACATGGCATTCCCACCCCATCCGCATGTTCCCTCCCACATGCCACCCATTCGATCGCGAAGGGGGAACCGAACGCAAGCGAAAGCGCTAAACCCTGAAAAGGAGATATTCTAGAATCCGGTTTCGAAGGAGTTAAAGAATCAAAACGCAAATGAAATGAAAAATGATAGGATAGGTCAAAGAGAAATATGATATACGACAACGGGCATACGGGATCCCATGCCCAGCCACGGCAACCACGGCAACCACGGCTGTAACATTTGATAGACAGATGGTCCAGTCCAACCTGGAAAGTAGGAAGCTCATAAGGCACGGACGTTGGTGCAAGTAGTGCAGTGCCTCTTTGCTTTTTCAGGGGTTTTTTCCAGGTTGGGTTCATCATCTTCCAAGAACAGAAAGTTCGGCACGGCCGAGTGGCCAATCCATTCAAAATTCAGCGATCGATCGGTCGGTCGGCTGCCCGGTTTTCTTCAAAGGCAAAACAAAGAAAAGAAAAGAAGGTCGGGAAGTGGATGCGAATGCGACATGGAGCCTCACATCACCTCAATCTTCCATCCCCAGATTACACTATCTCGTGGGACTCCCCTCCTCCTCCTTGTCTCCTTGTGACGGTTTCTCAGAATAGTATACTTCCCCACGTTTTTTACTGGGAAGATGGTTGCGGAGTTGATGAATGATGATGTTTCGAGATGGCAGTGGGTTTGGGGATATAAAGTTGGGAGGAGAGCAGCTGCCTGGGTAGGTACTTTATAAAGTGGGTGAAACGGCATGGCATGGGTGGTTCATATGGTTGACCTGATTCTTGGGTCTCTAAGATTGGGTTGAGATGTGTGCGTTGATGGTCTCTGATGGCGCATCATTGATAAAAACTTTGGAGTAAAAGGCATTTCTTCCTCCGTTCCGTTCATTATTGTTGCAATTGCCTCACATTGAACTCCTTTCTGGAAACATAAGCCCCTAAAAAGTCCCCGATCCCCTGAATTCTGTGAAGCGGCGTAGCATCGCAAAAGAGCCTCCAACTAAGCCCACACCACGGCAATACACCTGGCCGAAGAACTTTCTTCGTTTGCAAGCATTTGAAGAAAGAAGAAGAAAAGAAAAAAAAGCAGGAAAAAAAACAAACTCCCGTAGAAAAGCATAACTCCAAGGCAAACCGAACAAACAAACAACAATAACCATCGGCGCCGGGATCACAGCTGACGAGCTGAAGTGCTCGGTGTTACCGGCAGGCTAGGAAGCTAACAAAGCATGCGCTGAACAGCTGACACAGGCCGTTCACTAATCACTATAGGTAAAAAACGTTGTTTCGTTGTTCATCGCTTGCCGAGCAGTCGTTTGGACTTGAAAGCTGAGCCAGCTGGCCTAGCTTGCCTCCAAGAGCTATGATTGGCCAGACACCCCTCAACGGTAGTGCTCAAACTAAGCCGAGGTCGAATGAACGACACCATTCACAAGTGCAACGACACTCAATATGTTCACTAATCATTAATTCCTGCATTTTGAGAACCACAGCATTCAAGTATAGCATACCATCACGACATCACGACATTGGAACCTTTGGTGGCGTCCACTGTACTTATTAGAGGTAATCTTCTGAAACGGCAGGGACGGATAAGACGAAACGAGACAAGAACGAAACAGATAAGACGGGATAGAGACAACAGGAACAATGGGCGGAGGAAAGATTGATGTGTATATGGACATTGGTGAGTAAACCTGAACCCGTTACAATTCACCCACCTACCTGAGGTGGTCTCCTGGTCTTGAGCCGGGACCGTGACCGTGGCCGTGGCCGTGGGTGTGCAATCCCATCATCATCATCAAGACGACGACTAACACAACATCTACCTCCATAGTGTCCCTATACAGCTACCTAGCCTTCTTAGACCTTCAACGAAACGGTGACCTGCTCAAAGCATACAATGTAGAGGTTGAGTGAGTCTCTTTCTCTCTTTCATGTCTCCATGTCTCACAAGGTCCCAAAAACCATCCTGATCCTGGTGATTACTTCAACTAACCTGTTACCCTCTCTCACTCCAGATTCCATCCCGTCCTTCTTGGGGCTATCAACGTCGGCTCAGGTATGCAATGTCCAGACCCATTTCATCATTACAAGTATACACTGAGTGGCCTAAACGGGTACTGACATAGACATCTCACAAACGAAGGCAACAAACCCCCCTGGAGCCTCCCCGCCAAAGCCATCTACGGCGCTCACGATGCTCGACGGTCCATCGCTAGGTTCCCGGGGCTGGTGATCCAGACGCCCAAGGATTTGATGGCTGTTTCCAAGACTATCGTTGTATGTGCCATCCCATCCCGTCCCTCTCCGTCGTCTCCTTCCTCTCCTCCCTCACTTGCTCTCCTCTCTCTCTCTCTCTCCTTCTCCTTCCTCTCCTTCCTCTCCTTCCTCACTCCCTCACTTCCTCTCCCCGTCCCGCCCATCGTCACCAGCAAAGCTAATTTCGGTCAAAAACAACAACAGCCCAACCGCGCCCTCCACTTCATCAAATCCCACCACCCCCCCTCCACCTTCCTCACCACCCTCCACTACCTAATGCACCTCTTCTGGTCTCCCCCCAACTTGAACCTAACCCTGCCCGAAAACGTCGCCAAGGCGTTGTTGGAGTGTCCGGCGGATTTTACCTCCTCCTCTCTGTCTACCCCTGCTGTTGCTGCTCAGAGTGGACAAGGGGAGAAGAAATTGTTCACAAAGCAACAAGTAGAAGAAATCATAAAGGGAACTGAAACCCCCCAAGTCAAAGAGGCCCTAAAGAAAGCGACGCAGGAGGCGTTGGATAAGGGGGCGTTTGGGAATCCGTGGTTTTGGGTTACCGCCGACGACAAGAAAGAAAAAGGGGAGCCGTTTTTTGGGAGTGATAGGTATGTCAAGTTTTTATTTCTCTTTGTTGCTTCTCGGTGTTTGTGGCAGGACTTAAAGGGAGTGTGGCTCGTGTGAGTTGATACTGACGATGTGTGACAGATTCCATTTCATCTACAAGTTCCTTGGTCTGCCCTTCCAGGACGTCACACTTTTGCCTCCTGGTGGTAAGGCCAAGTTGTGATGGGGCTGGAAACCGGGTTCTGTGCTTGGGATTAGCAGGTTTTGACTGCTCCTTCGTTTAGTTTACCGAATGTCTTTCTAACCCGGCATGAGAAGACACTCTTCGGCGATCTTCAGATTCAAATAGTCCGAAGTTGGATAGATGGTCTGGACCCAGCGATCTTGCTTCTTAAACTGTATGAAACTGGAGGTTCACAGCAGACAGTCTTCCCATGCCGTGTTACCACTGACGTTCCCGATCTTGAGAAGAGGTCGTCGAGTAAGTTATATCGGCGTGAATGACCCCCAAATAGTCGAACCAGCTTCCAAAATATATTTGGATGTTGTCGTAAACAAAACCAAAAAGGTCGTCGTCGTCGTCCTCCATTCCTAGCAGCTAGGAACCCCTGACTGGTGTTATGGAGCCACCGAAAAAAAAAATATCGTCAAAAAAATATTCGTTTCGACGTGGGCCTGATTCGAACAGACGCTCCCGAAGGAACAAGATTTCTAGTCTTGCGCGTTAGACCACTCCGCCACCACGCCAATTGATGATTACTTGATGATTACCGGACTGGGAAGTTGGGATTATGTGTCAGATGGGGCGGTGCATTGATACGACTTGCCAAATGTTTGTGGTTGAGGAATGCATGCTCCTCAGCGGTCGAAATCCAGCAGCGGTCGGGCAATTGTGATGAATGTAAACTTGATATCATGCACAGGTATGCTTCGCTTCGTGTCGTCAAGGCGTTGAAAAGTCCTGGTATTGAAAATGGGGTATCTCTATTTTGCGGTCGTGAAAAATGATATGGTGTTGCATAGTGCGGTCCTCCCATACTGCTTTGGCGAGAAGACGCGATCCATACAACAATAAAGGCAAGCGACAATAGACGAATGGCGATCGCATGCCACAGAATAGTGGTAGCGCGCTCACGTCTTCCCCGCCTGCGCCATCCTCGCCCTCCTCGCCTCCTCCTCCCTGCGCATCTCGCTCCTGGCCAAGAAATCCTGTCTCGCAGCAAACGAGTCCTTGGACTTGCCCGCCAGCTCGAGCTCGTCCTTGAGGCCCATCTTGTCAACCGCCACCGCCCAGTCCATCTTGCTCTTCTCGACCGTGTTGAGCTTCTTGGCCTTGCTGCCCGTGGCTTCGCGAGCCTGCAGGCGGGAGGCCATGCTCAGGTTGAGGTCGGAGCGATGCGCCGAGTTGGCATCGGTGATGGGCTCGAAGACGGACCGGAAGGCTTTTCGGGGCATGCGCTTGGTGGAGGAGGACTCGTCCTCTGCGGCTGCTTCGCCGTCGGCCGCTGTGGCGTTCTCCCCGAAAGAGGCGAGGTAGAGCTTTGCTTCGGCAGAGTCGCGGGCAACGAGCTTCTCTTCGGTGTGGACTTTGCCGGCGAAGTTGTAGGTTCTCTTGATTTTTATGAAGTTGGAGTCGGGATCTTTCGATTTGCCTGCTTCTGGCTGCTGTGGAGATGATTTCGTGGCATCATGATTCGCTGCGTCGGCGCTTTCGTCTGGTTTCGCTGAACTTGTTCGTGGTATGACCGGCTCGCTGGTCATTTGCGCCCAGAGGGCATCAACGTCGATTGTAACGGGTCCGCTGGCGGCGGCTGTTGAACGCTTCTCTTTTCTATCATTGTTGTTAGTGCCCGGATCCAAAGAGAAGAGGTTTCATGTACAAACGTACTCAACAGCGCGTTGGCTGCGCGTCTTGATGAGGCCACCCTCGCCAGTTTCCTCATCGTCGGCAACATCCTTTGCCTTTGCCTTCTTTTGTCGCTTCTCTCCCCTTTTTATTATCGCTTCATCTCCGGAATTGTCGTAACCAGCGTCTTCCACCTCGTCGACGGTGGCGCGTTTCCTCTTTTCGGGCTTTGATTTCTCGGCATCGTCACCGGCTTCTTCGTCGTCGTCGTCGGATACTGATGATTCTTCGGCGGCTTCGGCAGCTTCTGGCGCGAAGTCGGAGTCTTCCTCTGACGCGTAGTCCTCCGCGAGGAGTTCCAGGGTTGGCGGCATCTTGGTATCGTCGTAATGTAACGTTCCGGCCTTCCTCGAGCTGATCGCGTTGAATCTTCGTTGCCGGGTGCGTCGTTTCTAGAAAGGTACCTCTCCAAAGTATCGTGGGCCGGAATATCAAAGTGGAAAAAGTGACGACGGAAATGTAAGGATCCATGTCATTCCATGTCCGATCGACTGCAGCGTGAGTGGGACACAAACGCTCTGTTTAGCAGCCAATAGGGCAGCTTGCCGTCATGTCAACCACCTTTCGGCTCAAGCTCCCCCGCATCACGCCCGCACTTTCCTTGATGTCCCGCTGGAAACTCCCCGCAACCGGGAACCTTATAACAGACTGGAACTGACGATTATCGTGAACCGCACCACTGGGACATCTTCGAAAAGGTCGCTATCACGAACATGGAAACGCCCGTGATGCCGTACTCCCCGATGAACTGGTGATGTCCAATAGGATATTTCTGGTTAAACGAGACCTCCCCGCCGGTTACACGTAGCCTAAGGCGCATACGGAGCAAGGATGGATTACCTACCTTAGCTGCCTCGTGGCGCAGTCGGAGTCCGGAGTCTTGTTGATGATCATTTGGTTAGCTTAGGTTGGTATCCGTCGGTATCTTGACGAGTATATAAGGGTAGAGATAGCTTGTCGGCCCCGTGAATCTACGGTCTTGTTCTCCTCAGACCTTTCGCTATCCTCTACAGCATGTGTCCGAAAAATAACATCACACTCAACATGTCGTCGTCATCTGCTCTGAGTCTTGAAGAGAAGGAACACTTCCTTACCCATGGCTGGGTCAAGTAGGTGCTATGCCACGATACCAGCTGTTCAACCTCGTTACTGACCGTCCATCCCAGGATCCCGGCTGCCTTCACACAGCCGAGGGCACAGGAGATAATCGCCAATGTCTGGACAAGACTTGGGATGGACCCAAACGACAAGTCCACCTGGAACAAAGCACGTGTCAACATGCCCTCCCATATGGAGTTCGACGCTGCAGACTTTGCTCCCCGCGCCTGGGCAGCCATCAGCGAGCTTTGCGGCGGCGAGGACAAGATTGCCAACTGGTCCAAGAAGTGGAAGGACTCCCTTATCGTCAACCTCGGCACACCTGAAGGAGAAGGGAAGCCAAAGCCTCCACAGAAGCTAGACAACTGGCACGTCGATGGCGACTTCTTCGTCCACTACCTCGACAGCCCGGAGCAGGGTCTGCTCGTCATCCCTCTCTTCACCGATATCATGCCCGAGGGCGGCGGTACCATGATCTGCCCCGAGGCTATTCCCATCCTCGCCAAGCACCTGTACGAGCATCCCGAGGGTGTCTCTCCACGCATGGCACCCCGGGGCGATGGGGAATTCAAGCAGGAGCACCACCTCAACTGGTTCAACAATACGGCCAAGGGCTGCACCCAGTTTGTCGAGGCAACAGGCAAGGTCGGGGACGTGTACTTGCTTCATCCGCTGATGCTGCACTCGGCCTCGAGCAACGCAAAGAGGAACGTCCGCATCATTACCAACCCGCCAGTAGCGCTCAAGCAGCCGTTCAACTTTGATAGGGAGGACGGCAACTATTCGCTCGTGGAGCAGGTAACATTGCGGGCTCTTGGGAAGGACCGTCTAAAAGGCTGGAAGATTACCAGGCCAAGAGAGAAGATCGTTCCGGAGAGAGTCAGGATCCAGGAGAGGATGAAGCAAGAGGAGCTGGCGAGGTTGGGGGCGTTGAAGAAGGCGGCGGCATGATGTTTCGTGGACGCTGTGTGTTAGTAAACGATTTGTAGTACGACAACTTTAGGTCCAAGTCGAATTGAGAAAGTTGGAGAAGAGAAGAAGAACCTCAATGGCCGGCAATTTATCTTCAATTTGTACACTGTAACATCATCCGGGGTAGCGTCACAGCTCCCGCCCGTCTGGACCCTGGAATGCACGCCAAGAAGCGGTGGGGCTGTTAGGCAACTTGATGATCTCAACGTCTGACCAAAGAATCGTTCCGACACCTTTTTGCTCCTTACAACAACCAATTTTTTCCTCCTTACCGGCATGATGAGCGATAGCGACAGTGACGACTACCTGGTCGAGCAACCACAACTTGCCCCAGATGACCCCATGCGCGCATACGTGCCGTTGTCGTTCGGCAAAACAAGCAAAGAAGCCAATATCGCAACCCAAATAGAAAGGGCGAGGCGACAGGTAGAGACACCAGCAGCGCCAAAGAAAGGCGACCGCAAGAAGGATGACGATAGTGACAATGACAGCGACGATGATGATGACGACTCAGACGACGATGACTCGGAAGACGAGAGCGATCGATTCCCTGTATCCCACGAACTTGTACTCAAAACACACGAGCGCGCCGTGACGAGCGTATCCTTGGACCCGGCCGGCGGACGACTTCTTACGGGCTCCCTCGACGGGACAGTCAAGCTTCATGACTTTTCTGCCATGACGCCAACAACACTACGGGCCTTTAGGAGCGTCGACCCGTGGGAGAGCAAGAAATCATCAGCCACCACCGACTCGCACCCGATTCAACGCGCCGAGTTCTGCCCTACTTCGGGCAGCCACTTTCTCTGCGTAACAGCGCACCCCCAAGCTAAGATCATGTCGAGGGATGGCGATATCTTGACAGAGTTTATCAAGGGCGACATGTATTTACGCGACATGAAAAACACAAAGGGTCACGTCGGAGAGATCGCAACAGGCACATGGCACCCCAGCGACCCCAACCTTTGCGTTACCGCTGGCTCGGATAGCACCCTAAGAATTTGGGACGTCAACAACAAGAGAAGCCAGAAGGAGGTGATTGTTTTCAAGTCGAAAGCCGCGGGATCGGCTGGACGGACGAGAATGACATCGGTGGTATGGGGTGCCTCTGCCCAGGGGAGCAATCCGGTTCTTGTGGCGGCCGCTCTGGATGGTTCGCTGGTCATGTACAGCGGCAACGGTCCCTTCACGCGACCAGCGGCAGAAATTCGCGAAGCACATAAGCCAGACACATGGACAGGTGGTATCGACATTAGCGCAGATGGAAGAATGGTGGTCACAAGAGGAGGTGACGGCTTGATCAAACTATGGGACACGCGCAAGTTCAAGGAGCCTCTCGTCAAGGTCGAGCACCCGTCAACATCGGATCGCTTCCCCATGACCAACATCCGATACTCTCCCGACTCGCGATCGATCATCACCGGTTCCGCGTCTGGGCACCTCCACATCCTCAACCCGGGCAACCTCAGACCCGAACACGTTACGCCCATCACGCCCGGCATCCCAATCATCGTCGTCGACTGGCACCCCAAGCTCAACCAGATCATCACCGGTTCCGCCAACGCCGAGACTCGCATCCTCTTCAACCCCGAGAAGTCATTCCGCGGTGCCGTCGAAGTCATGTCCCGCGCGCCCAAGAAGCGGCACATCGACGACGACCCCAACCTCACGATGGACCAAAGCCTCGGCCTCTCCGCCGACTCCATCATCACTCCCGGCGCCGTGGTACAGAAACCAAAGGGGAAGCGCGGCGGCGGCAACGGCAGCGGAACCAGAGGCCCTCAGGTGCAGCAGATCACGCCCTTTATGCGCAGCCAGCCGGACGAGAAACACATCTCGGAGAACATCCCGCTCAGCAGGATGTTGCACGAGGATCCCCGAGAGGCGCTGCTCAAGTATGCGGAGGTGGCTAAGAAGGATCCCATATTTACCAAGTCTTACAAGGAGACGCAGCCGGTTACGCAGTATGCGAATGTTAGTGAGGGAGAGGAGGATGGGGAGGGACCGGATCGGAAGAGGGTTAAGAGGTGATCTCTGGGCCATATGATTATCTTGTTTATACGAATGGGTATGCATTGAGGATAGGAGATAGACAGTGTTATCTTTTTTAAATTTTGATACCATGGTAATGGGTTACATGAACGAACTGTCGTGGTGCCATGGGATACCGCAGGAATGTCCTCTGGGTTTGTGTACATCCATTCAGGGGCACGATACGGTCCTTTGCTGTCTCCAAATGCCATGGACAGGAATGTGACTCGGCCAAGCCAATGCACTAAGAGAGTAGGCATCCTTACATAAACGCTTAGGCTATAATCTCTTGGCCAATGGCAAATGCGAGGTCCATGCGCTCAATCCTGAGGCAGCGATTGGCTGTCCTGAGGTTTGCTCGGCGTTGCCGCTAATCGAATAACGGTTAGATTGCTGCACAGGTCAGGGATGGAGTCGGATGCGTGAAACCTGATTGAGTTGCAAAAAGCGGCCGAGCGTATCTTACGTAAGCTTTCCCCAGCCAAATTTTGCGCGTGGAGCCTCTGGCTGGACACGAGCATTGGCCACTTGGATCCACTCTGCCAGCTCTTGCCGGGCAGGCAGGCGAACTGGCACCGACTCTGCCACTCTCTGGCTGCTGTTTCTGCCTGCTGGCTCTGCGCTCTCACGTCGCCCGCACCCGCTGCTTTGCTCTCTGACCTGACCGACCGTGACCTCTCTCCATCACTTTCCAACCAAGGGAAGCCAGTGGACGCGAAGGCTTGTGCATCAAAAAAATCACCACTCTCCCCTGCGACTCATTGAGGCCATCAGGAAACCGCCGACAAAAAACGGGACCACTCAATCCCCGGCGCATCCCACTCGCACCCGGCCACCACCCCCAACGCGCCGCCCGCGATTGCCATTCCGGCTTTTTTCCTTCATCTTGTCCGACCTTCAGTCAGCAGAGGTTCAAGGGAGGCCTGCCTCTACAGTCTACAGTGCACTCACCACCAGTCTACCCTCTCATTTTCCCGCCCCGACTGTCCGCCTCTTTCCCCCACTGCCCACTCTACTTGTACCAGTGCAACTGGAATCTCTTAACAATTCCTGCTCTACGTTCGCAGAGTCCATCCAACCGACAATACTGGGATATCAGATTCCACTTTCCACGGCAACCACCCACCAACACCACCACCGCCACCACCACCACCACGGCAAAGAGGACCATCGGATCCAGATAGTCTTTTAGCACACTGGACCATCTCGCTTCCCGGTCACCCATCATCCCGTCCAACAACGACGGCTGAACTACAGGTCGATAACCACCGCCCTCAAGGTTCGGTGAAGCCACCCTTGCTCGTTGCACACACCTCAACGACGCGAACCGACGACTGTCCACCGCGCATCGTCTATCCGTCGTCCGGACTTTTGCATACCACTCAGACAGGCATTGCCGCATCTCTGCATTCTTGCCTATCCATTGCCTAGTAATTGCAGTCCATCCCTAGGACACGCTTGTCACTCGCTGCTCTTTTTTTTTCTCTTCGCCTGACGACACGTCCTGGTCACGTCCACCAAGGCGTTTTCGCGACGCACCCCACTGCGACTATCATCGTCTATGGATATGCGCCGACAGTGACATCTGCCGCCAGCCATTGAATTCACTTCTCTCGACGGTCTCGATAGCCCCGCCAGCATCTCTTCTTTCCTGCTCCCACCATGGCTAGTGTCCAAATGCCTGCTGCCGTTGCGCAGCACCCGCAAATGGTGATGGCTGCCAACATGAGCGGCCAGCAGCTTCAGGAAGTCTATGCGGTATGTTTCCCTCTTAGTCGCATCATGACATACCAATGCGATTCCGTGATGGCCTCAAGCTGACTTTCAACAGCGCTACCAGCAACTAAAGAAGCAGGGCGTCCCTCAAAACGATCCCGAGTTTATGAAGCTCCACAACATCATCCTGGCCGTATCCCGCAGACAGCATCAACAGCAGCAACAACAGCAGATGCAACGACAACAACAACAACAGATGGCAGGCGGTGCCGTTAACGGAGGTCAGCCTGGCCGTGCCCCCGGGCCCCAACAGACGGACGGTGTCTCTGGAGCTCAGGTTCCCAAGACGCCTGCTGCTAAGCCTGTTGGTATGCCAACCGGCCAGCCGCAAGGAGGTGTCCCCTACACCAAGGCTCAGATTCAGTTGCTCAAGGATCAAATAAAGGCTTTCCAAGCGCTAAGTCGGAATCAGGGTGTCCCGGCTGCCCTTCAAAAACAGCTTTACGAGTTCAGGGCTCGGCGCAACTCTGCCCAGGTTGCGCAAGCGGCGTCCAATACGTCCGCTGCTCAGACTAACTCCAGCACACCAACCCCAGAGACCCCCAAGACCGGCGGTCCCAATGGTCAGGAGGAGGCTGATTCAACACCAAAGGCGCGTGAGCTCAAGACAGTCAAGTTGCCACTAGAAGCCGGACTGGTCAAAAACAGCATCAACTACCTCGAGCATGGGCGCCGGAAGAATCGCCTCATTATCCCTGGCATTTTCCCCACGGGTGTCGATTTCGAGCAGTTGAGGGCGGACCGTGAGAAGATCGTGTTCAATCGCATGAGCGCCCGCTATGCCGAGCTCAAGAGCCTCCCAAGTAATCTGGCGCATTGGGACACGAGCAAGGATGAAGTCGTCGCCGATGACACGGCTAAGCGCAAGGCCATTATCGAAATGAAGAAGTTGGCCTTGTACTCCAAGCAGCGAGCGCTGAGGGACAAGGTCGGGAAACAAATGCTACACTACGACAACCTGGCGATGACGACAAATAGGACAATGTACCGTCGCATGAAGAAGCAGAGTGTTAGGGAGGCCCGGGTTACCGAGAAGCTTGAGAAGCAGCAACGTGACGCGCGCGAGAATAGGGAACGCAAGAAGCACGTCGAGTTTCTGCAAGCGGTTCAAAACCACAAGGTGGAGATACAAAATGTCGCCTCGATCCAGCGTAACAAGCTGCAGAAGATGGGCCGTCTCATGTATGCGCATCACTTCAACATCGAAAAGGAGGAGCAAAAGAGGGTGGAAAGGACGGCCAAGCAGCGTCTGCAGGCCCTCAAGGCCAACGACGAAGAAGCTTATCTCAAGCTGCTCGATCAGGCCAAGGATACTCGTATTACTCACCTTCTCCGCCAGACCGACGGTTTCCTTCATCAGCTCGCCTCGTCGGTTCGTGCGCAACAGCGCGAGGCCGCCGAGCGTTATGGCGACGATTTGCAAAACATCCCAGAAGAGGAGAGCGATGTGGACGAGGACGAGGAAAGTAGTCGGAAGATCGACTACTATGCCGTTGCGCACAGAATCAAGGAAGAGGTCACAGAACAAGCCAGCATTCTGGTCGGTGGTACTCTCAAGGAGTACCAGCTCAAGGGTCTGCAGTGGATGTTGTCGCTCTACAACAACAACCTCAACGGTATCCTGGCCGACGAAATGGGTCTCGGAAAAACTATTCAGACAATCAGTTTGGTCACGTACCTCATCGAGAAAAAGCAGCAGAATGGACCATACCTGGTCATTGTTCCGCTCAGTACGCTCACCAACTGGAACCTCGAATTCGATAAGTGGGCACCATCCGTCGCCAAGATCGTCTATAAGGGTCCTCCCAACACCCGCAAGCTGCAGCAGGAGAAGATCCGTCGTGGTGAATTCCAGGTCTTGCTTACGACATACGAGTACATCATAAAGGATCGTCCGCTGTTGAGCAAGATCAAGTGGTTCCACATGATCATTGATGAAGGACATCGTATGAAGAACGCTAACTCCAAGCTGAGCGCGACCATCCAGCAGTTCTACAGCACCCGATTCCGCTTGATTCTCACGGGTACTCCCTTGCAAAACAACCTTGCCGAACTGTGGTCCATGCTCAACTTCGTCCTGCCGAACATCTTCAAATCAGCCAAGACCTTTGATGAATGGTTCAACACTCCTTTCGCCAACACGGGTGGGCAAGACAAGATGGAACTCACAGAAGAAGAGCAGATTCTCGTCATTCGTCGTCTACACAAGGTGCTACGGCCATTCTTGCTGCGTCGTCTCAAAAAGGATGTCGAAAAGGATCTGCCGGACAAGACAGAAAAGGTCATCAAGTGCAAGTTCTCGGCCCTGCAGCAACGTCTGTACAAGCAAATGGTTACCCACCAAAAGATTCTTGTCAGCGACGGAAAGGGTGGCAAGACTGGTGCTCGTGGTTTGAGCAACATGATCATGCAGCTCCGCAAGCTCTGCAACCATCCGTTTGTGTTTGACGAAGTCGAAAACCAAATGAACCCGACCAATACCAGCAACGACCTGTTGTGGAGAACGGCCGGTAAGTTTGAGCTTCTGGACCGTGTTCTGCCCAAATATAAGGCAACGGGCCATCGTGTCCTGATGTTCTTCCAAATGACTGCCATTATGGACATTATGGAGGATTTCCTCAGGTTCCGTGGCATTCAGTACCTCCGGCTTGACGGTACGACCAAGGCCGAGGACCGTTCCGAACTCTTGAGGCTTTTCAACGCCCCTGACTCGCCTTACTTCATGTTCCTTCTGTCCACTCGTGCTGGTGGTTTGGGTCTCAACTTGCAGACTGCCGATACGGTAATCATTTACGACTCGGATTGGAACCCTCATCAGGATTTGCAGGCTCAGGATCGTGCCCATCGTATCGGTCAGAAGAACGAAGTGCGTATTTTGCGTCTCATCAGTTCGGCCTCGGTGGAAGAAAAGATCTTGGAGCGTGCCAGATTCAAGCTCGACATGGACGGAAAGGTCATTCAGGCCGGTCGCTTCGACAACAAGTCCTCCGAAACCGATCGTGATGCCATGCTCAGGACTTTGCTTGAGACGGCAGACATGGCGGAGGTCGGTGAGCAGGAAGAGATGGATGACGAGGAACTCAACATGATCCTGGCCCGTAACGAGGATGAGTTGGTCACGTTCCAGCAGCTTGACGATGAAAGAGCTCGCGATCCGCTCTACGGTACGGCACCGGGTTGCAAGGCTATTCCTCGCCTCATGGCTGAGAAGGAACTGCCCGATATCTACCTTCAAGATGACAACCCGATTGAAGAAGAAGAAGCGGTTTCTCTCGGTCGTGGAGCTCGTGAGCGCACAAAGGTCAAGTACGACGACGGCCTCACAGAAGAGCAGTGGCTCATGGCGGTTGACGACGACGACGATTCGCCGGAGGCTGCGGCGGCCCGCAAGGCGGCCCGTAAGGATCGCCGTGAACAAAACCGGCTCAAGAAGCTGGCAATCCTCAACAATGCTTCCGGTTCCGTGGATGCCTCACCATCCGTTAGTCGCGCTAGTACCGAGGAAGTGGAAGTTGCTCCGCCGACACCCAAGAAACGCGGTCGCAAGCCTGGCAGCAAGAATCTCGAAAAGCGCCCAAGGGAGGACGGCGATGATGAACCTCCTGCCGCCAAGAAGCGTCGCGGACCCGGTGGCCGGCCCAAGGCGGTATCAAACGGGGATAGCCGCATGTCAGGAGAGATGCGCACCAAGTTGCAGCAGAGCATGAGGAGGATCTTCGATGGATTGATGAACCTCGAAGTGGAGGATGATGAGCCTGCCGAGCAGCCAGATGGCGACAAGGACGAGGATGAAGGCCCACCCACCAGGCTGATCATCGGTCCCTTCGTCAAGCTGCCGCCTAAGCGTGAATGGCCGGATTACTACCTCATGATCACGAACCCGATTTGCATGAAGGACATCGAAAAGAAGTTGAAGAAGGAGGACTACCACTCACTTTCGGATATGCGGAAGGACCTGGAGTTGCTGGTGAGGAACTGCAGGACGTTCAACGAGGAGACATCCATGATTTGCATAGATGCAAACAGGATAGAGGTATGTTGTACCCGCCGCTTGTTAGCGAGATAGCCGTTCACTAACACGTCATGTAACAGGCTCACTTCAAGGCTCAGTTCGAAAAAGAGCTGAACGATCACCCCGAACTCCGCACTCTCGAGGACCCCTCCTCCTCATCCTTCTCCGTAGGAGCACTCTCGACAAAGGACGGCTCAGTCGCCCCATCCACCATCACCAACTCCACAGAGACTCCTCAACCATCGTCGGCACCTGCAGCGCCAACCCCAGCACCGACCCAACCAACCAGGATCAAGCTGGTGTCTAGCTCAACGTCTTACAACAACGCTGCTTCCTCGGCCAGCGCAACGACATCAGCCGTGAACAGCATGAGCGTCAGCCAGGTGATGAACGGTACTAGCGCGGCGGACAGCGAAGCTGGTGATGAGGATTAGCGGGCTCGTCAGCGTCAGCGTCAGCGTCAGCGTCAGCGTCAGCGTCAGCGTGAGTCGCGGTCCCGTGCGGAGAGCAGTAGTAGTCATTTCGATGATAGCGGTGATGATGATTACCAATCGGAAGAAGAATAAATGGGTGTTCGGTATCGATGGAGGAAGGAGATGAAGCGGCTGATGAGTCGATCAGATAAAATCAGACTACCGGTAGTGGTAAACTACGTAGTAGTGTTTGTATACATAACCTACGATACGAAACTCCCCGTACGGACGTACATATGGCATGGCATGGCATGGCATGGCAAGAAAAGAATAAACATAAAGCAGAAGCGAAGACGAAAGGAGAAAGATGAAAGACGTGGTATGACATTCAGGTTTTTTCGGCTTTTTTTGTTCTTTCGGTAACAGGATGGGGATGGATTTAGGTATCATGGCATTGACATAGGATACTACTGATAAAGACGTTATGTTATACTTATGGTTTTTGACTTGATGGACTGATTGATTGATGCTGGGTGGTGGTTGGTAGTTGGTGGGCTGTAGTGTAGTGTAGTGTAGTGACTTTGTTGATAGTGTTTATGGGAGCAAGATCTTATAACAACACGAACTTCCCGTTCAATCTTCTTTCGTTGGCTTCTGAGTAGGGTGTCTGTCTATGACGACTAGGCGAGTTGAGTTGGTTCGCATGTCTAGTTGTCGGTCGGTAGATGTAGAGAAGCAAAAGAAACCAAGTCAATGTGTCTCTCACGTTTGTTTGTCTATGCTTACTGCGCGGACTCTGTCGGAAGAGATGATGTGACTACCTCACTGTCGGACTATCTATCTATCTGGTATCATTCGAAAGATGAGTTACGCACCTTCGAGTCGGAGGTTCGCCCCGTCCCTTCCATCACTATTATTTACAAACACCACATATTCGATATCTTCAACACCTCCTGCCTTCTCACCGAAAAAGAAAGAAAAACCACACAAGTCAACAAACAACAAGAAGAATAACGGAACAGAAACGAGGAAGGAAAAAAAAAACACAAAAAAGAAATGCCTACTACAGGAATCGAACCTGTGATCTTTGCATGTCGAGACAATGACCCACTTTGGAATTACCCGCAGTGGACAAGGTTAATACAAGTGCAACGCATTAGCCACTATGCTAAGCAGGCAATTGGTATTTGTTGGATAACGGTATTCGGTCCTGGACTTATAAAGGGGAAGTGAGGGGTATCCTGACGCAAGCAAACAAAACATTTGGGCGGTAAAAGCTTAAGCAGACGACAAACGCTTGACGATAATGAAAACACAAACATAATAAATAGCTTAGTGCAATGGGAATTGGGGATTTATGTGATCTCCAAGGCCTCTTTCCAAAAAAAATTTAAAAAAATTTGATGACAGTACTTCATTCATCCCAATTCGAGTCCTCGTGGGTGCAACTTGCATATAGTTATCGCAGGCTGGCAGGCAGGCCACTTACACGTCCAAACGAACGGGTTGCCTTCCTTGCACACATCATCGAATAACACATTCCTTCTCCCGAACCTTAAACCTAAAAAGTTTCAGATCGGCATCTAGAAACAAAACATTCGAAAGGCTTCATTTCAAAATGCTTCTGAAAACTTCTGGCGAACTGGTTCAAGTTCCTGAACCCGCTGTCTGGCATCCTTCCCCCCTCCACCCCCAACGCTCTGCAGCCGACCATCGCATCGTCTAACTGGCTGCAGCGTGAATGCTCTCGGCGCGGGGGTCAATTCTACAAGCCGTGTGTACATACAATGAATGAGGCGTTCTTCCGTCTCATCCAGACCTTTTCTCTGGGCCGTTCTTTGCTTCTGGCGGTGTAGACTAGAGAACGCGGGATGCGGCTGAAATATTCTGCAGGACGACTGCTGCAAGTGTTACAAGTCTAACAACGAAATCAGCAAGTCCGTGAGCTGGACTTAACACTCACCAGTCAGCACTCAATGGAGGTACTTAGAACCATACCTACGGCGGCCCGCCTTGAATCCGGCAACTTGATACTATTGTACAGCTAGCTGCCCAAGGATTTCGGCAAACCGGTAGGAATTCCGTCCGTGTGGAGTGTGAACAACTAACTCAAAGGAAGCACCACTTCGAATGAATGAAGTAGGTACGCTTGTCACATGTCCGCATGGGTGCTGTTTTAGATACCACAGCATAAGTGTGTGCTTGAATTATGTTACTATATATCCTCCTTTACTTAAAATCCTTCTCACGCGCTATATAACCTAGCTTGTGCTTGTCAAAAATTGCTTCCGCAATGATGATATCTCTTTCCGGACTTGAACCCTTGAATGTGCCCGTCCACCCAATTTCCCCAACACATGTGGTCTCCAACGCCCGTACGATTATCTCCCGAGGGCACTCACTTCAGTTCCTTCCTCCCAATGTTGCCTACACCCATCTCTCTTTCACCAGATGTATCGCTACCAACACAAACACAAGTGTGACCTAGCTTACACACTTCGCACGCACTTCCCAAGAATCGAAGCCCTACAAGGCGAATTAAAGAGGTTCTAGACGAATGATGAACACCAGAATAAAGTGCTATGAATTTGTTCTTGGTAAAAATGGCGAGGTGGTTTGGTTTGCTTGTCTCTCTCTCAAAAAATCCCCACACTCCAGCATAAAAAGAGGCCGACTAAAGGGCCCTGTGATAGTCGAAGAGAAGTAAAAGAGTAACAAAAGATGTTAAACAACAACATGGTGGTATAAAAATTCGCAGACTAGTGGTATATGATGTGCAGCAGCAAACTCCATGACGCCATGAAAAATTCGACAAAAACCAAAGGGGCTGATTGGCAAACACCCCGCTGAAACCAAATAAACGTATCGACGAAGTATAGTCGCAAAGAAGAAGGGTTACAAAAGATGAAAGGGGGTTAAAGTGAGTGATCGTTGTGTTAAAGGGGGGAAGTGACATGCGATAAAGGGGTTCAAGTTCCACAAAGATGACAGCTGCAGCTCGTGGTCCTTTTCCCTCGCTTGCCTTGCCGAAAGAAATCATATCCTCCTTTGCTTGTGATCGAAGGAAGATGAAACAAAGAAATGACCGACCACACCAGGGTCAAACCACGCATAGGCCTCGTCTTTGTGCCATAGTTTAGCCCCTGCTGTGACAAGTTTCCTGCCTATGTACACCCACCAGGCGGCAAACACCAAAGACAAGCAATAAATGGTGGAAGTGAAAGGGAAAAAGGGGTAGCGAAGAGAAGAAAAATCTACATAGGCAAGGAAAGAAAATGTTGCTGTTGACAACACGGTGTTTGTGGGTGGCCGAGTTCAATTCGGCCCACCTCTTCGTCTCCGGCCACGGCTAGGGCCGTCCGGGCGCTGAGCAAGGACTTCGCGCAAAAGGGGGTCGTCTTTGTCCTTATCAGTGTGGTGTACTCGTACATGTCTGCAATGTCAGTGTTAGCAATCAGGTCTCACGGGCTCAAGAACTACTTGGTTAGAGATGCCTACCTTTGGAGGTTATCAGGACGAGGATATTTGTGCTCTCGGTCAGGGCAGAATGGGCACACATAGCCTGGTGAGTCATGCACCAATCCATGCCTGATCATCTCGTTCTTGCGCTTGAACCCCCTTCCACCTTCGCCTCGAGAACACCCTGGTACGGGACAGTAATGAGGTCGCGCGGATGAGTGAACATTTGCGTGCGAGTTTAGCAAGTACTGCGTCTGGAACGGCGCGGCGTTGCAGCCCTGGAATTTGCACACATAAGTACCCGTATGGCTGGTTAGGCCATCGATGCTCATTCGGTCGGCTATTGATCCGGGCGATGTTGCGGGGGCATTCATGTGACTGCGCGAATGATCCGGAGCTGAGAGTTCTGAGCCGCTGGCATAATCGTGCGGCCGCTGTATGCCATTCCCTTGAGAGAAGTAGTACGGCGAAACAGGTTCCCGACGGTATGGGTCAGCGGCCGATTGTGGCGGCGATGCATGGTTTGTGTATGACAACAGACTTGTCGGAAAACCTGGAGGAGAGCCGGGAAAAGGTTGATGTGGACTCCGCTCAATTATGGGACGGGAAAGTTGATTGAGATCCGCCACTCCTAGAGAATCCCTTATGGATGGAAGTGTCTGCTGTGAGGCTCCTTCAAACACTGGGGAGGTCGGTTGGATTGGCGGTAAGCCTTCGGGTAGACTATTGGGTGTTAGGGGGTTCGTAGGTGACGCAATCGAAGGAATGCTTCCGTGCTCTCGGGGTGAAAAGGCGATTCCTCGTGGGCTATATGGAGTCAGCATTGCAGGCTGGGTTAGCCTTTCTGTATCCTTATCCGCCTCCGCTCGCCTCGCCGCTATGGTTGACTGAACCGTCATTGGTGGTGCGCTCTCCTTGATGGTATCATGCTCGGTGATTGGCGGCGTGGGACCTGCATCTGCCTCTTCCTGCTTGACACTGGGAGCGCTGAGATTTTGAACCACGCCCAAGGCACCGGCTGCTAGAGACTGTAGGCTGTCAAAGCCACCACCGGTATCGACCTCCCTGGAAGGCTCGGCTGACATATTTCGACGTTGAAGGCTTAGGTGGAGGTGTTCAACGTCATCGCGGTCTTCCCCGTTGAAGTGAGGGCTTTGAATGATTTCATTGCCATCCATGGAGGAAGCAGTGTCGGGCTCAAGGGAGTCGTCTCTGTCGGTATCGGAATGCTCTGATGGCAAGGCTTGGAGGCCGGCTTGGATCGCAATCTCTGGGCGTCTCCCTCCGTCAAGCATGTGAAGCAAGACGGCATCACCCTGACTCGGTCTTGACTTTATGCGACGATCAGACCTTTTGTTTCTCGGACTGGAAGGAGGACTGACTTTGGGGTAGGGGAACTCGTCCAGCGAGCTCGTTGGTGGCCCAAGCTGGGGGTGGTAGGGCTTCATCAACGGGCTATTCTGGGCTAGTAGTACCTCATCTGGATCGTAGCGATCTCCAGTGGGATCGTAGGCAAGAGTGGAAGCGGCTGTCGTACTCATAATTTCGCGTGTCGTCGGTGCTCTCGCTCGCGGAATGAACGTCTATCAGTTCGCCATCGAAGATCGGGCCGACACGTAGATGTTGTGATCCGTAGACCGTAGGCCGCCCGTCATGCACTGCAGACAAGTTGTTTTCCACCTCTTGTAGCAACCACTCGTAGGTCACCGGCCGTATAGTTCGCCCCGGTTGTCCCTTAGTCCCCGTCAACAAAGCCCTTCCCGAGGGCTCTCAACAGCGGTCCTGGTAAAGTCGTAGTCGAAGTATCGAAGGTGCGAGTTCGCGCGCAGCTGTGACCATGCGCTGGCGAACGGCAGCGTAGGGCGGCGGGCATGTAAGAGCCGCAAGAAGCAGCCCAGGGTGTGTGGTGTGTGCGTGGTAAGGAGTTTAGCGGGGAGAGGGCCCAGGTCGAAGTCGCAAAGCAGATCGGAAAGGGCGTGTGAACGCGACACTGGGGGGGATCAGGCAAGCGGGAGCAGCCTCGTGACTGATTTGATTGAGCGGGGGTTTGTAAATTGCAAGCCCGAGCCAGATGGGACAACCAGATGGGACAGTGAAGCGGGAGGGGGGCTGGGCGTCTGGGGAAGCTGAAGGCGCGGAATGCGGCTCAAGGCCCTGACAGCAGCGGCTGGTGGATATCCGGGACAAGGTAGAAAAGGAGGGAGATTTGAAGCAGCAGCCAGAGCGATGGATGGCAGACACGATGGGGACACAAGGGTACCTCTTTTAGTGTGCAAGGTCAAGGTAATCCGTATTCCGTGGTTACCTTGGCTACCAACCAGGAGTCGTCGTCCAGTCCAACTTGTACAAGTAGGTGAGGCCACCGAGTCTTTTTTTTGGTCCGGAACCTAATTCCCACACCGTTGCTTCCGTCCGGTCTCTTTTGCGGCCGCTCTGGCGGGTGGACGTGGTGGTCTGGTGGTCTTGACAGGAATGGTTGAATGTCGTGGGCCGAAACCTGAAAGAGGCACAGACGGTAGCGAGGCAGTGGAGGATCCAAGATTGGGGTGGATGGGATGGGGGATCGTTAACGGTTTAAGCCGCAAGGCAGTGACAGCCACCAACCTGGACGGAGGAAGAAGGTTGCAAGGGTGTAATGAAGAGGGCCAGCCCGGGGAAATCAGATTTCAGAGCGGGATGCCAGTTGCAAGGTGCTGCAGCTGCCCACTCACCACTCGCTGATGCCCAGTTGGAGAGTTGCGTGAGTGCGACCAGAGCTAAAGAGTGGAGGCGGGGAGGGGGAGAGTGCCACAGTTGGAGTAAATGCGACTGGGCACCGTGACAGCTGAGAGCTGTGGTTCGTTCGGCTCGGTAATGTGCTAGGGGAACTGAGGCCCGGCTGTCTGACCACCGAGCAGCAGCCCAAGGCATGGAACTGATCAGGGGTCTCATCCAAGGTCTCTCTCGGCCTGAGACATATAAGAAAGGATGGCTCGTTGCCGATAGATTTCCCACTTGTCGAGGATGGCGATATTTGGAAATGACGACAACCCTCAAGTTCCGCGGCTTTACCAGAATCGACTAGAGGCCAGCTGACAATGTTGTGGAGTAGATGAAGAGAAGGAAGATGCGGCGAGATCTGATGAACTCGTGTGTCCAAGCTAAGTACCGGCAAAGTTGGTTTTGATGGGGATTATGCCAGTATGCCTCTCTGATATTGGCACGGCCTCGAGTTTCGGTCTTTGGAATGTCGTCCCGAACAGAGAAAGCTCATCGCTTTCGTTCTTTGACTCCTCTCTTTGGCGCGTTTCTTAGGTGGGGGTGCTGTGCTAGAGCAGAACAGGTGAACAGGTGGTGAACAGTTGTGCGATGTTGTCCGTCCGCCAGTTCGTGCGATTCCAAAGCTGGGACGCAGGGAGGCACAGCCCGAGAGCGTGGTTGAGGGGTAACTTGTGAGGCTCCTTTTTCCGTAAGGATCCCGATCCCGTCTGCCCGTCCATGCGGCGGCGCCTGAGCGTTTTGGGGGAACGACATGCGAGATATGGCTGGCTGGCACGTCGTAGCTTCTAACTTACATGGCATTGCATGAGATTGGTAGATTGGCAGGTTGGCACCGACCGAGTGCAGCGCTGTCAGTTGCCAGGGGCAGTGCCACAAGCCTGGGAAACTGAGATACCGTATATGTCACCACAGCTGTCACTGTAGCTATAATTATTGCGGTTCTGTGTGGATGGAAGTGAGAGACAAAGTGGATGACCAGACGGGCATTAGCAGAACTGGCAGTGGACATGGGCAATGACAAGAATGGGAACCTCTCGATATCGAAAATGACCGTCAACGCCTCCGCTTTCAGGAGGAAGTTGAGATCCACAATCCACCATCGCAGCATCCACACTTGCAGTTTGATACTTGCAAGAGCAAAGGGCAGCAACGGCAATGATGATATGAGTGGGGGACGACCAATGGTGTGTGGGGACTTGAATCTTGCTGCCCTTTCGACTCCCAATGTCATCTTCTCTCTGCAGTGTTTCCAATGTTTCAAGGTTACTGCATCACAAGATTGATCCATATCTCAACGCTTCTTGTCGCTTTTCCCCTCATTGAACAAAAGCGTTTCACTCGGTTCAATAAACCCAAGAACCTTGGTGACTGACAAAAAACAGTACAGGTGCTACTATGACAAAGGTAGAGTACGCACGAAACCCAGCGGTTCAACCAAGTTCAACACCCGGCCGGGAGGTACTGTAATCTCAAGACCCCACCATGCTGAGGCAGGCCGTCCGATTTCATGCCGGGCGACTCCCCCAAGGGCTCCCAAGGGCCGGGGATGCGAGGATGGATGCGAGGATGTCGCGTGCGAGGATGAGCCTCTTTCTTTCTTTGCGATAGGGATGATGGGATCCCGTCCGTTCCAGTTAGAGATACAGCGGTTGAAAAGCTTCCACTTCGGGCTGCCTTTAGGTTGCACAAATCGGACAATTACGCCAGAGCCCTCAGCTTGGCACTTGATTCACACTCTCTGATTCGGTATCTCTCCATTCCTCTACTGATCATACGGACGCAGGTGAGATAGTGGACGGATCTTGACTCGAATGGATGATGAGAAATGGAAGAAGGGAAGAAGCTCCTCACCGGGCTGCTTCCCGCGCGGTCCCATGAGGTGATCCGCTATGAATGATTGACCCGCATACCCACTCACCCACAACTGACCCGCTCCGACGACGACCAAGTGGAAACATGCATGCTTCTTCAGGGCCAATCGGCATCGGGACTAGGAGACTTGGGGACTGGGGCTCTCTTGTCACCCTCTCCACATTTTTTTGGGGTCTTGAGATTGGGGCTCGACCGACTTTGGGGGACTTCATTGCAGTTCGGACTTAAGAGAAGTTGGGAAGTTCCTAACCGAAGCGAAACCTCCGAAGCCACTCACCACCGGTCAGACAATGGTGGATGATGACCCTCATTGAGCCTATCAAAGAGAGCGACTGATATAAACGGCTCAGCTTGTGCGCGCCGACGGTTAACTCAACTAGGTAATTGCTAGTTCTAGAGTGAGTTCCAATTGTGGACTTGGACATTGGTATTTCTGTCGTCAACCCCGGCAAAGGTTTAAGAATCATCTTGAGTGTATCGGTTGATGACGGCAGTCATATGCTCTCAACGACGGCATGACGGACGGGTGGACGCTGAACATCAGACATTGGGAAGAGGGGCCAAGAGACGCCATGTACCAACCCAACCCAGATCCCTGATGAGAAGACCCAAAAGAATGAAATGGACGACCAAACTTGGGTGTGCTGCTGTTTTTATTAGCCGCTCCTCGCAGTCTTGAGCCCAAAGAAAGCGGCCTCATCAACTGGCCGACCGGTCTCTATTGCGTCTTTTCCAGAAGCGCTAACATCGCCAGAACCGCTTAGAAGGAAAATCGTCAGTCGTCGGGTACCCGCAAAATAACACATACATACGGTAATCGCTAACGATATCCGACCATGTTGGGCGTATGTCACCAGGCGGGGACATGGTTCTCAAATCGGTTCTTGGTAGATGAGGCCAAGGTTGACTTTCGCACGCTAGGTATGCGTTCGATATCATAGGCCTGGCCTGGACCGCCAAACCCTGGCAAGCCACCGAGCCATATCTCTCTTGTCTCTTCCCTTTCCCCTCTCCGATAGTTGGATGAATGAATGACATGTGCCTAACCAGCCGCATGATGCTGTTTAAACTCAGCCTCAATCAAACCGAATGAACATCCCCGCACCGCCGGGTCATCATCGATCCTTCAACCACGAACGAACGACTTGGAGAAAAACACATCAACCTACGTTGCGTCCGATCAAGTGCCTAACCACATGGGGATCTCTTGCAAATACCTCAACAAACGCCACCGTACAGTAACTTCGTAGGTCGTCAGTCAGATGCCCGGATACTGAGCGTATCAGTCGGCGGTTGTTGATCAGACAGGACAAGTCCTCCGTCTCTTACACTCACTCAACTTGAACTCGTTCCGTCGTTTCTCTGCTTCTCGCAGATGAGCCAAATTTGATGCGGTTGTGGGCGGTTCAATCATTGAGGCATCTCCCATAGAACGTTCGTCGCCATGCTCGTTGCTGTTCAATTCACCGAGGATAACTGATCCTTGCGACGATGGCGTCAAGGGCGAAGAAGAAAGTTCTGGCAAGTCTGGTGATGGTGGAGTAAATGTGAATGAGGGCAAAGGGGGACGATGCGTTGTCATATCGTCGCCTGCTCCTCCTTCTTCCTCGGAGGAGGGTTCAGAGTCTACCCACAGACCTGGCTGGCGTTGCGGTCTTCGGCTCATCTGCCGGATTCGGATTGTCAACGGAGGAGAAGACGGACCGTTGCTGCTTAGTGGGTGATCTGTGTTCCTATCTCCCTGTCGTTGATGGGCTGATGACAGTGGACGGGAGGAAGGGGAGGGGGTTGGGTTCCTTTGAAAATGCGGCGATATCTTAGCACCGACGTCTTCGTCTTCCTCCTCCACGAGTTCTGCCATCGTACCTAGTTCTTGTTCTCCATCGCAATCACGGGCATCTGTCACAGCACCGATCTTCTCGATGAAAGGAGCGAGCCGAATCTTCCTGGGTTCCCATGAAGCCGCATTGTCGCGCTCAAGACCCCTAAAGAGTCGGTTATCCTCCTCCGGCTCGCACATCCAGCGATGAGCAAGAGCTTGGCGCGCCGTGAGCCGGTGCTTGCTGTTGTAGATGAGACATCCGCGAATGAAGTCCTGTGCATCGTTTGAGATGTCTTCATCTGGACGGAGGCGGGAGGTTTGAGGGTCTACGGGGTCGTCTTCATCGCTATCTTGAACAGCAGCGTCACGGCTGTGGTCATCAAAGATGATGTTGAGATAACGGTCAATTCTGTCTTGGCTGGTGAAGTCGAGATGACGAAGGTTCGGGAGTTCTTGGAATCCAGAGAAAAGCTGAAGGCAAAGCATCCCAATAGACCAGATGTCGACAGACAGTGAGTGACCTCTCTCGGAGTTATAGCATTCACTGAACCAAGCGTTAGTATTGCTTCATGAAAACCCAGTGTTACAAGTCAATTCGGAAAGGGAAATGGAAAACCCACGGTGCTCGATAGAATGTTGTTCCAACCTCGGACTTCAACCTTCCACGGTTCGTGAGAGCAGAGTCCCCAAAGTCGGAGAGAACAAGCCTGTAGGAGACATTGGGCGCTATGGCACAGAGAATGTTCTCTGGCTTGATGTCTCGATGCGCAACGCCCTTCTTGTGAATGTAGTCAACAGCATTGAGGATTTGGCGTATAATCCATCGTATCTCTAGCTCGGGGAGTGTCCCCTCGCGTGATAGAAGTGAGAAGAGATCGCCACCAGTTGCCAGCTCCGTGAAGATGTACCTAGAGATAAATTAGTTACCCAACCTTGTTAGCTGACGATGATATGAGTCTTACACAGAATGCTTTGATTCAAAGGCGGCCTTGATGGAAAGAATGTTTGGCTGACAACTTTGTTAGTCAAGTCCGTCTCTCGTGTCGTTCAAGTTCCCTACGTGATCAAGATAGCTCAACAGCATTGCCTCCTGTTTGATCCGACGGAGTATCTGGTGCGACCGGGGTCGTCTATCCAGGTTGTGCACTTTGCAAGCCAACTGCTGCCCAGTCAAGACATCTGTGGCAAGGTAGACAGCAGCATGAGCACCATCTCCTAACGTGCGATCTTTCACTAGATACCGGTCCTCAAGGAGCTGGACATTGCGAAGTCAGATCATGGCATGTGTGTGTTTATCGCACACCAGGATAACAATAATACCTTGAGTTCCTCTCGTTGGCGTGCAGTGAGACATAGAAACGAAGTTCCCTCCTCGAGCTGGAAGAACTTGAAAGTGATGTAAGGATGGATAGAGATGACATCCCCGTTCTGGAGTAGTCTTCCCGGAGTGATGTCTGGCTTCTTTCCAACACACTTTTTGTTGAGCAGAGTTCCGTTGGAAGACTGCCGATCTCGCACAAACACAAGTGGTGTATGGCGACCTTCTTCGTCAACAGTGATGGAATACAGCTCAAAGTGGTTTCTTGAGACCGTGAAATCGGCAAAAACAACGTCATTATTGTCTCGGTCCGTGTCACGACCAATTCTGACTGTCTGGTTTGGCCTGATGTAAAAACCGCCTACACTTGCGACTCGAAGGTTAGGGAGCACCGGTTGGATTAGACCAGCGAGTGAAGCATATGGCACCATTCACGATCTGCCCAGGGTAATGATAGAGACCTACCTCTTGTAGGAGGATGAGTGCTAGTGTCTTCGAAAGAAACACTTGCTACTGGCGGTTGCGACATTTCGAGCCAGCTGTCAAGATATAGATAGGCCAAACAAGAGATAATGATAAGAATAAAGCCGGCAGTGGTAGGGTTGAGTCATCTATGCCATGATCTCGTCACTTGCGCTCGAGAAGGTGTTGACTGTTCATCGCCCAAGGCGGCTTTGCGAATGCATAAATTGAGGTTTGGAAGAGTTCATAGAGGTAATCACAGGAACGAGATTTTGGGAGAGCAAGTTGGTGCCTTGGGTATCGGCCTGTCCTTCCCATGTCCAGCCATTGTGCAAAATTTTCCTGCAGACAGGTCGTGCCTTCCTTTCACCTGAAGGTTGCAATTTCGTTGCAAGTGAAGTTGTCCATGCTTGAGGTTTGCCAAGGCAGGCACGCCAGTGAAGGGAGGAGTCGAGCTCCGAGCCGACTGAGCTTCTGATGCCGTCCAAACTCCCTCCTGCGGGAGCTTGGGCCACCTAGGGCAAAGGGTGCAACCCCGCACGGACCGCAACCAAACAAAGAGCGGCAGGCTTGAGCAATTTGGGCTTGCGTCACCTGACTTACCCCACAGGGCAAGCTTGCCCTGGAGCCCTATTAGATAAAAGTTCCCCCTCCCCATCCGCAAGTTGAAACTCTTTCCCATCACCAACAAGCAAAACTCATCTTTGAATCCAAGATGTACGCGCTCCCGTCCCCCAGCATTTGCTTGGCCGCCTACTGACATACAAGCAGTTCAAGATGAGAGCGAAGTGGAGAAAGAAGCGCGTGAGACGCCTTAAGCGCAAGAGAAGAAAGATGAGAGCGAGATCGTAAGTTTCACCATCGGCGGACGAATGATGCTCCTACAATCGCCACTCTGGAGCATAGATGCTGACTCGATCCCAGGAAATAAACGCCTCGCCTCACTCGACCCAATCAGCTCTTCACATCATCCTCTAAGCCATCAAACGACTTGGGCTCGGTGTCGACTCCTCCTCTCAGCACGGAATGACGCCACATCGGTCGCTCTGAAACCTCGCGGTGATCAGGCGAACTCAGGGTTCCTACGGAACATGCACCCCTCGGGATATGCTGCACATCAAACTGCGGCGCGCACAGAACGGAACTGTTTGTTGGTGGATATGGTATTGGCTGGTTGCCTGTCAACTTATGGTTGAGTAGCAACAAGGTGTTTACGGATCAACGCCGGTGGGAGCAAACTGTCTAGCTTGGAGATGCGAATTCGGGATACCAGTCGCAACAACAATAAAGGCCGCTTCGCTTCATGACACAATTCTCTGCCTTCAAGTGACAAACCTGTCTTTACATGCCTGTGAATCAATCTATCTCGCCGACAACATTCATGGCATCCTGTCCTCGGACTGACATCGAGCCTCAGACAAGGGGACTAGCAATTTTGCAACAATCTTGAACATTTTCTGACGTCGCGGTAGGCAGTGTCCCGCGTGCGCGAGGGCATAGGAATCGCGTCCCACGCCTTTGCCCTGTGATTTCGATTGAACCCCTCCTTGTCTGGGTGATTTCTCTTGAGCGCTTGCGGCTTGCTACCTTTCTATCTTTTAAAAACAAATAAACAGCAATTGATTCCTGTTGATGAACATTTCGCGCTTCGTAGTCTATCAAAACAATCATCAACATATTACATCGTCGTCATCGGGTGTGGTGTGCCGATTGCAAAGGCGGTAACTGATACGGGACCCCGGCAGGCGGCAGAATTTTTTTCTGGCTGCGGGATCCACTTAGAAGTTCAGACAGCGACTCTCCAGCTGCATGATCCATTTGATTTGGCGGGACTTCACGATTCCAGCACCTCTGTAGCCCGCAAACACCATCATGGGAAGCTCATCAGACAAGAAGCGCAAGAGCGCTGAGGATACGACATCCCAAACCAAGAAGAAGAAGGTCGACTCCGAGAAGTCGTCCAAGTCGCCAAAGTTCATCAATGTCGGAGCCGTGAAGAGGCCGCAGTATGCGCCTCCGGTCGTTGGTAAGCACATGTTGATCGGCTGAGACCATGGCCGACAAGTCCAATGGAGGATGACTCTAACATGCGATCCCAGCCGCCACCTCGGGACTTGCTCTCTCTTCATCCATACAATTCCAAGCCTATGCCACACCAGCCGACAAGACCTCGAAGCGCAAGAAGAATGGCGCGCCCGCCCAAGAGTTGCTGTTGCACTCTGCCAACCACCGAACGATGGACTACACAGCCCGCGAGGACAGGACAGGAGACTCGTCAGACCCATACCTGAAGCACTACATCGGCATCTTCAACCCCAAAACCGCCGAGGTCGAAATCGTGGAGGCGCGCAAGACGGTGCTCCGGGGCACAGTTAGGTCACAGAAGGCTGTTGACGAGGCAATGGAGGAGAAGGCTCAGAAACAGGTAGGCATGGAAGTGTTGGCTAGGGGCATAAACCCAGAGACTGACGGTGCAACAGCAAATGATGGCCATGAGGAACGAGCTCGGCGAGGCATTCGGTACCAAGAAGGCGAAGAAGGCGATCCGCGACGTGACCGAGAACGCCATTACATCCCAAAAGGTCGGCCAGAGCGAGCTGGTGATGATGGACGCCATCAAGACCGCCACCAAGGACATGTCGACCAAGGAGGACCTTCAAGCGGCTGTCGACAACGCCCGACCAGTACCGCGCGGCAACTTCGAGGCCAAGGAGATCGCAGACGTCTACGTACCAGCCCAGATTATCGGATCCGAGGTCCTGAACGCGATACCAGTGATGGATTGGCAGGAGAGCGTCAAGAACCTAGAGGACATCCAGGTACCTTCGCGCTTCGTCGCCAAGCGCGTCTCCAACGTAGCAAGCAGCGACGACGCGGTGCACAGACTGAGGGTACTGCGGTACCTCTTGTTCGTCATCATTTTCTGGAATGCCACCTCGCAAGGAAGGGAGCGTGGCACAAGGAGTATTGGCAAGAGGGATAAGCTGCGCGAGGTGATGGCACCAGCGCCCGAGATCGTGATCGAGAACATCCGCCGCAAGTTCTCGGACGGCGGAGTTATGCGCAAGACACATGTCGACCTCCTGATGACGCACTGCTGCGCGTTTGCCGCCATCATCGACGGCTTTAAGGTCAACACGATCGACCTGAGGGAAGATCTGAAGCTGGAGCAGAAGCAGCTCAACCAGTACTTTATCGAGATTGGAGCTCGCGTCAAGCAGCAGAAGGTCGCTGACAAGATGGAGAACTTTGCCATCTTGGCACTGCCTCTCCAGTTCCCCAAGATCAGACTGCCGGCAAGGAAGAGGTAAATCATTCTTTACGGAGCCGGGATCACGGCCACGGATCAAATCATCAAATTTAGTTGGATTGTGCGCATTGCAAATCTTCCACCCAGTCCTACATTGGACATTTTGGCGCTTACTCTTGGAAGCTCCCTACGCATTGCTGGGGAAGGGCATGATTTTGGCGAGAGAAGCCAATGTTCAGCAGGAAGTCTGGCCGCTTCCAGCCGCAACCACCATGGTGTGTTGTTGAGACACCCAGGCGACATCCAGGCGCTGGCCAATCACAGCCCCAAGCGCCTAATCGAGAGGAAGCCATGACTTGTACCGAACTATTTGAGCATCTTGCGGAGGTATACAGCAGTTAGATTGCGGTTCGGGCAGTAAAAGTTACACTAGAAGGCATATGTCATTAGTATAGACGGTGTAGAGAATAGTCATGGACAATGATGGGCCGTAGTTGCATGGCGGGAAGCCCATTGTCTCACAATCTTTATAAGCTCTGAATGGGGTCAAAGAGATGACATTGAAATCTACAAGTAAGAAAGGGTCACCCCACAAAACCCTGGCCCCTGAGTGCTGAGTGCCTCAACATTTGGCCAACCCCTTTGGGTTTGTTTACAAAACTGATATCCGCACGGACCAAATAATGAAGATGGGGGCCGAAGACAGGAGACAGGCAGGCAAAGACGATCGATAACTTGAACCAGCTAACGCCAGTTGATATGCAAAACCAGAACCACAAACACCAACCTAACATATGTAACAAGAGGGTGCCCGGCAGATCCCAAGTTGATATGAAATTAGCCAACGACCAGGCCAGCATGAAAAGAGGAAAAAAAAGGCAGTCATATGGTTGGATGAACATCCGCCCTGTCGTCACCTTCTGGCCGCTGTTCCGCTGGCCGCTGGCCGCCCCCGCGGTGTGAGATGCCGTCGGTAGGTAGGGCTGGACCGAAGTCGATCACCCAACGATGGAGTCCCTTGTGCCTCCCGACCCTCCCCATGGCCCGTTGCCCTGACCACCCCGTCCGTCTGCCGGCCGCGCTTGTGCTTTCCCTCGCTCCCCCTTGGACCCCTTGCGTTGTGCGAAGTGAAAGTGCTTGAGCCGCATTTCGAAAGCCACGTGGGGAAAATCCCCACCGAGCGACCAGAACCAGTGCAGCTTTCCTCACCGGCACCCCAACCAGCTTAAATGGTATGACGACATTGCCTCTTTTAAAGAGCTTTTGGCATCTTTAATTCAGACGCGTCTCACTCTCAACGATCTTTTTCCATGAATTACTTGTTTCCTTGAACTGCTGCTTCATTTTTGCGTTTGCACCCTCAATTCACCTTTCCCAATACTCTATGATGTCTCTGATTTCATTCTGAACTGCTATTCTCAACAATTTTGTGTTGATGACAGCGACAATAGGAGTGCTCAATTCACGACGCGTCAAAGTTGGGATGACGGGCGAAATGTCGGGGCAGGGGGGCACTTGCGATTTTTTTGAGGTTGATTCGCAATGCCGGGGCTGGTGCCTGCAGCGCATGGACCAGTTTTTGTGGTCTCCGGGCGTGGTGATTGGTCAGGGTGGTCTTTTCTTTGGTGCCAACCAGCACCTTTCAGTTCCAGTTCCAGTTCCATTCCAGTCCAGTTCCGCGAACTGAGAAGGAACGAACGCGTGCGACCGACCGACCGCTGACTGTCCACCTCTTTCTTGCCTCTGCCGCCCCCAAGTCACCACACTCATTGCCCCTGCCTCTGGCCTCTTGCCTTCCCTCTGCACAACAAATTCACGGCATCTGACCGACTGCACTCGATACTACCGCTGAGGTGAAGCTATCCAGCTTCTCGATTTTCAACCTGGATCCCAACCATCACCCTCCTAACCTCAACGACTGGACTTGAAGCAGCGGAAGTTATGCGCGCGCGCGAGACGAGTTGCACCACACTGCTGCCTCCCTCCACTACTACAACCTCTACATAGCTCGGCACCATTCAGCACCGGCACCACATCCCGACATCGACTCTCCCACGAGCAGTCTAGTCTAGTGTTGAGCGTGTGTTCGTGTGTGTGCGTGTCTGCGTGTGTGTGTGCATTCTACCAATCTACTACTACCTGCCAGTGCCTCTCCTAGATGCCCTTGGACATTCTGTCTGGCTCTACTTCAATTGCGCCCTTGAATAGGTTTTGCTCTGTCCAAACCTCGAGGCAACTTCGACCTGAACTGAAGTGCTCCGTCGATGCTGCATCATCACGCTACCAGCGGTCCATCCCACCGTCTGTTAGTCGACCTGCCGACCGCAAGGTGAGAGCGGAGTGTTGACCCAACTTCACTCTCAACGGCATCTCCAAGCCAGAACATAGAACTGTATGTGGCTCTTTCCTTTTCTGGTTTTTGCATCTTTTTCATCCCGTCCCTTTGCTTCCTATTGTTTCCCTTGTTGCCGCATCTTATTTTGCTCTGCACTGCACTCAACGCAACCTAACACGACTTGTTTATGCAGGCTACTAGGTATTGAATAGCTGTTATCAATAAACATCGGATCAAAAGCGAGTCGCAAGCTCAACAATTCACCAACCGCTAGCTTTTTCGCCATTCTCGCCATCGGACTCAATAGGCATCCATCCGAACCCACCCTACTATTGTCCACCACCCACCCCAGTCCTATTCAGAGCTATTCGTTGCAGCACTTATTGGACCACATTATACCCAGCCATTTTGCCCCCACCATCAATCTGCTATGTCGAAGCGCAAAAAGGACTTTCTCACGGATTTCGACCCTAACAAATCCGATCCCGAAGACGAAAACTTTGACCCCATTGCCGAAAAGCAACGAACCCCGCGAAGTGCAAAGAAGCAAGCAAATACACGTCGCCAAAAGAACCGAGGCGCTGCTGGCGTTGCGCGCAGGCGGAACAGCCGATACAAAGGATCCGACATCGAAGACGACGACGATATCAGCGAGAGCGAACAAGACATCTCTTTCGGTGAAGAGGAGGACGAAGAAGAAGAGGACTCGGACGCTCCCGTCAACGCTACGGGCAGGCGGATGCGCCAGGCTGCCGCACGACATCAATCATACAGGGAAAGCAGTGAAGACGAAGACCAGATCCAGTCGTCTGACCAAGACAAAGACGTCGTCCAGGAGACCGACGAAGAACATAGAGTGCCCTCGATAGAATCTCCTGAACGGAGTCCCAGCAAGAAGAAGTCTCGCATCGTTGTGCTGAGTGTCAAGAAAGGCGCCAAGCCAAGCTCACAACGACCAAGACGTGGCGCTGCTGCCAAAGAATCAGCAACCATGGCTCCCCCGACCCGCCGCCGCTCTACTAGAGCCCGCACGGAGGAGACGGACGAGCCTTTGCTCGAGCTTTCCAACTCAGGAAGGCATACCCGCGTCACTCGCGCATCAACAAGAAGCAAATCCCCGGAAGCCATGACCCATCCCACCAGAGCTACCCGTGGTTCCAAGGGTGTTAAGAGACACCAACCCCCACCCATCCCCGAAGCCTCCCACGAGGAAGATGACGACGAATACAAGGTCGAGACGGATATACCCAATGTTGACAATGTGGACGAGTTGGCCGGCGAGGCGAACATGATCGATGCGCCTGCTGACCATCCGGAAGAACACCAAGAGGGATGTGCTGAACAGATGGCTGAGGAAGGAGCTGCTCAACAGATTAGCGAAGAACCACCTGCACAGATCGAGAGCCAACCAGCGGCGGAAGACGCAGATGTTGACGACGAAGACGATGCTCCGATTACTAGGCGGACTCGTGGGGCTAGAGCCGTCACATCTACCGCAGCTACCTCGACCACAGTTACAGCAGTCGAACCAGAGGGCGAAGGACTCAGGAGCCGCTTGAGGCGTGGATCTCGCCTGAAGAAGAGGTCGCTCGCAGAACCTAGTAGTGACTTTGAGCCAGGTGAGGAGTCAGGCGATAACGAAGCCTATGCCTCGGAGGCTTCAGTCAAGAAAGCTGGTCGCAAAGGTTCCAGTGCCGATGAGTCTGCCGCCACACCCGTTCGCGGACGTTCCACCCGCGCCCGCGCTGCCAAGAGGCCTCGCCGCAGCCATGACTCTGGCGAAGAGGAAGTTGAGCTGGATAGGGAGGAGCTCGCCGAAGAACTCGAGGAACTGCGCGAGAGCTCACGCTCGCGGCCACGAAGAGCTGCCACTCGCCGTCGCCGCTCGCCTTCCATTCAGTACGAGGAGCCCGCCGGCAAGAGACGTCGCACCACCCAGCGTGTCGATTACACTATCCCGGCAATTGACTTGGCCGCTCTCGAGGCCGAAGAAGATGACGAGCCTGTGGCCACCCCAGCAAGAGGCCGCAAGAGGAATGGAGGCAACGCAGGATGGGATCGTCCTTTGAACACCACCTATGGTCCCTTTGGTGGTGGCGGAGTTGGCTCTCTGCTTGGAGGCCCTTGGGGCACCGGCGCTACGGGCGGCGTTGATTCCGACAGCAGCGACGACGAGATGGTGCAACGAACCGGTCCTGGCCAGAACCCTATTGGCATGACACCCACTTCTGCCGCCCCTCCGGTTGGCTTATTCAATCCTGCGGCTCAGACCCATAATGTGGACGGCCTTGGTGGTATTGGAGGCGCCACACCTAATGTCGGAAAGGTGAAGAATCCCAAGGCGTTTGCGGATGCGGATCCGCTCGGCGTCGATATGAGCGTCGATTTCAGCAAAGTCGGAGGTTTGCAGGGTCACATCGACCAGCTCAAGGAAATGGTCCAGCTTCCCCTTTTGTACCCCGAACTGTTTACCAGATTTCATGTTACACCACCACGAGGTGTCCTCTTCCACGGTCCGCCCGGTACCGGTAAGACTCTCCTTGCCAGAGCTTTGGCCAACTCGGTCGGCTCCGGAGGCCGCAAGATCAGCTTCTATATGCGCAAGGGAGCTGATGCTCTCAGCAAGTGGGTTGGTGAGGCAGAGAAGCAGCTGCGGTTGCTCTTCGAGGAAGCTCGGAGGACGCAGCCAAGTATCATCTTCTTCGATGAAATCGATGGCCTTGCTCCTGTGCGATCTAGCAAGCAGGAGCAGATCCATGCAAGCATTGTCTCTACCCTGCTGGCGTTGATGGATGGTATGGATGGTCGTGGCCAGGTCATCGTCATCGGTGCCACTAACCGCCCTGACAACATCGACCCTGCTTTGCGTCGCCCCGGACGTTTCGACAGAGAGTTCTACTTCCCCCTTCCCGACATCGAGGGAAGGCGATCGATTCTAGACATTCACACCAAGGACTGGGGTTTGTCGAATGAGTTCAAGGACCAGTTGGCCCAGTTCACCAAGGGTTATGGTGGTGCCGATCTCCGCGCCCTTTGCACCGAGGCGGCTCTGAACGCCATCCAAAGAACGTATCCCCAGATCTACACGTCCAAGGAGAAGCTTGTGGTCAACCCTCAGAAGATCAACATCCAGGCGTCCGATTTCATGCATTCGATCAAGAAGATGGTGCCATCATCTGAGCGCTCGGCTTCATCCAGCGCCATGACCATCCCCAAAATGGTCAAGCCACTTCTTGAGAAGCAATTCGAAGCTCTCGTGGCGCAGCTCGACAAGATTCTGCCTCGCCCAAAGAAGACCACCGCGCTTGAGGAGGCCATGTATGAACCGTATAAGGATCTCGATGGCGGGTTCGAGAGGGAGCAGATGAGTCAGGACTTCCAGCGGTCGCGTGTCTATCGCCCTAGATTGCTCCTTTGTGGTGTGGCGGGTATGGGCCACGGTTACCTGTCGAAGGCTATTTTGCATTACTTGGAAGGTGTTCATGTTCAGGATTTTGGTCTGCCTGTTGTACTGAATGACTCTAGGGTAAGTTTTCAACTATTAACACCTTGTGGAATATCGACTAACGTTTTGTCATCTAGCCCCCTGAACAAGTTATTGTGAGCCTCTTTACCGAGGCCAAACGTCACAAGCCCAGTGTGATCTTTATCCCTAATGTGGACGCTTGGTGGGCGACCCTTGGCGATGCCGCCCTGACGACATTCACCACGATGCTTCGACAGATGTCGCCTACCGACCCTGTTCTTGTACTCGGCACAGCGGAGACAATGCCTGAGCTTGTCCCACCAGAGATTTTGACCGAACTGTTCGGATTCTCGAAGGGGAACCGTACCGTGATCCCCCGTCCGGACCGTGAACAGCGTGTTTTCTTCTTTTTCCCTATCATCCAGAACTTGTGGAAGGCACCTGAAGAATTCCCGGATCCTTCCAACCGCAAGAAGCGGGTGCTCGAAATCCTGCCGGTTGCCCCGCCGCCGCCACCCAGGGTTCCTACCAAGGAGGAGATCAAAGCTCAGCGCCAGATCGACTTCCATCATTTGAACTTGCTGAAGGCGAGACTGCAACCGATTATGGATCAGATTCAGCGCAGGTATCGCAAGTTCAGACAGCCCGTCATTCCTCTCAACACGATCAGCTATCTGTTCCAGGAGTCTGATCCCAACTTTGTCCGTCCCGACGTGGGTGAACAGGAGCAGCGGCCCTTTGTCATTTCCAAGGACGATAAAGGTGTTGACGGCATTCTTGAAACCAAAACGGGCAAGTTTTACTACAATCTTGACTCTACTACAATCGAGGAGCGCTTGGCCAATGGCTATTATGCCCGCCCGATGGACTTCTACGAGGATATTAAGCGTTTATTCCTCGATGTCAAGACTATCGGCGATAAGGACTACCTCCCGAAGGCGAGCGAAATGGTCACCAATGTTGAGATTGATGTGTACGATATCAATCTTTCTTTCAAAGCATCAGGCGTCAACTTTGAGGACATCTACCAAAGGCAGCTCGAGAGAGCGAGGAAGGCCGAAGAGCGCCACCGCAAAAAGGCAGCTTTCCAGCCCATGGTCGACAAGATCCAGTCTGACCTTGCCGAGACCCATGACGATAGCGAGTCTCAAGGTCCTGTGGGTATCGGATACCCCATGGTCAAGACGGCCCACACGACAGCGGCCAGATTCCAGGTCATCACGAGCCCCAAGTCGAACGGAGACTTGAACTCTTCCGGATCGCACCCGCTCACCAACGGCACATCGCACCCTTCCAACCAAGGCGAGACCGGTCAGACGGTGGAAGAAGAAAGCACTCTGCTCTTCTCTCAGGGAGTTGAAATCAGCTCGCCGCTTAGATATCGGCATGCGCAACAACAACATCAACAGAACAGAGTCATTACAGAGTCGACCAGAGCGACCGTCGGCACATTCTCGCAGAGATCGGCGCTTACTTCTGTGCCTCCTGGAGTTTCACCGGCCGCTATCCAGAATGACGCTTCGAGCACCAGGACGTCTGATCCGAGCTCGGGCCGTGGAGAGTGGAACACGCAGCAGACGAATGGCGTGCAGAGCATCCCTCGGGGAACATCCCAGTTGGTTGAGAGCCAGGAGACGACTGTTAACCGTACTGCCGCGGCGTCCCTTTTGGAAACCAACAGCCAAAGCCAAAGCCAGAGCAATTCTTCTGGTAGCGGCCCGTGGCCTCACTCACAGATGGCTGGTATTGCGCAGGGCATCCTGCTGCCACCCGTGCCTGAGGAGGCTGAGGCCCACGAGGCCAACGAAGCTCCCGCCGGTGGTCTCCGTTCGTCGTCCTCCAAGGACCAGCCGCAGCAGGGTGGCGGTAATGGTGACAGTCAAAGCAGCAAGCCCAGCAATGATACTCCTGATAGCCAGCGGAGTCTGGTAGAGGGCAGACGTCCTAGGGACCTTGCGATTGCGGACTGTCTGGAGAGGCTTCTCCAGGGCCCCGTCCGCCCTGGCAGCACCGGCGGCAAGAAGACGGATAGCTCTCCGTACACCAACAACAGCCCGGCCCTTGGCCGCAACAACGCCCATCTGCCCCCCGGCCGCCGCAGCACTTCGGACTCGTCTCAGCAGCCTATCCTTAACGACGGTAAGGTCTGCGAGTTCTGGTCCTCGCTCGTCGAACGCACGGCCGGCTGCAACATTGAGCAGATGGAGCAGATCCATAGAGAGCTCATGGATACCATCTGGCAGTACCGCCACGAGTGGAATCGTATGCATGTCCTCTCCACGCTCGTCGGCGTCTTCAACGAAACCATTGCCGACATTGAGCTCGTGCAGGGCGCCTTGTTCGATGCCCAGGGCAGAGAGCAGAGGGAGCTCGAGAAGAGGGAGGCCGAGGCCAACAAGAGTTCGTCGCAGACTTCTGCTCAGTCTCAGGGGTTGACCCAGGCTCAAGCTGCTGTTGCCGCCGTCCCCGTCGGTGCTGCTGCCTCCACTCCTGGAGTCACTGCCGGCTCTGCCGCCCCTGGTCTAGTTGCTGCTGCCGCCAGAGGTGTTCCTACTCCTGATCCCACTGTTGCTTCTGCCTCTGATGTTCCTGCCGCAGCTGCTGCCACCACTGCTGTCGCTGGAAATGGCGATAGCCAGGGTACCGGTAGCACCAGTAACAGCCAGAAGAGCCACAGCAACCAGAAGAGTACTGCCGGTACTTCCGGTAGCCATAAGAGCAAGAGCAACAACAGTGGAAAGAGCAGTAGCCAGAAGACGCCTACTAGCAACAGTACGAGCCAGAAGAGCAAGAAGTCGGCGCGTGCGGCGCCGGCGGAGGATGATGGGTTGCCTTACATCTTTTTGAGGTAAGGGCTGACTGAGGAATCGCTAAGGGGGTTTGGCTTTGTGGGAGTGTGGGAGTGTGTTTGATCTGAGGGTGGACAAATGTGTGAGAGAGAATGAGAGAAATGGACAGGTGATGAATTTTGTCACAGTTCGAAGCATGGAAAAAGGAAAGACGAAGACAAAAGCGATTATGTATCACGTCACCAAGTTGGCATGAGCGCGTGGAAAAATATTCGAGAAAGGATCTCGGTTGGAGTGTAAAAGTAGACTGGACTGGATGGATGGATGGGAGAGAGACATGGATGGCTCTTTGTTGGCTTTTTTTTTTATTGTTCTCTCTCCTCATTTGATGTTTCCGCATTTTTTCTTTTGCCGAACCCCCTACCTGTTTGTTTGCTACTTTTGTTTATGTAGCTAGAAAAGGGGTTTTGGTTTTGCTGGTTTTCTTAGGTTAGCTAGGTGGTTAGGTAATCCATTCAGAAGAAGCCATTCGATACTTTTGCTTGCTGGTTAGGTTAGTTGTTACTGTGTATAGGACACTACGCTATACCATACGTTACTACATTAGCTTTACTGGTCAAGGTACTTATTGATGTTATGCCATGTTATGCCATGCTATGCCATGCTCTGCCATCTACAGGTGTTATGAAGAAATTCGGCCAAGGAAAATGAAGCCTTTGATGATGTCGTTTTTACCACAAATGCCATTGGACCGATGATATTAGTCATGTCATGTCATATGCGAGTCAGCCAAAATATTGAGGGTGTACATCGGGTGAGATACTGCATAGAGGTATGGAAGCCATCTATCTACATATGTAGACACAGGTAGGGCGGTGAAGAAGCTGATGATGATATGTATGCTTGGCTTGGCTTGGCATCTTGTCATTCTTGTGCAACCAACCTCAGAGCCCGACTCGACTCGGGGTCGTTCACCCGGACGTTAAGTAATGAACGGAAAGCGGCGCGCAGGGCGGCGGTAAGGCGGTTGGTCGGGCGGCGTGGGCGGTTCGACGACGGTCCAATCCAGTCAGTCGTTGACGGCTTAGCGATTGGAGAGACGTATATATCTTACGAGGAAAGTTGCGGTGTTGATAGGGTAAGTAAGTAATCCAAAAAGTTATCGTTTTAGCAAGGCCCGAGTTCGTAGAGATCTACAGTTTCTGTATCTTTTATCGGAGTTCTTCGGCCAACGGGTCGGGTGTCGTTGTCCTCGGGTGTGGTATCCCAGGCCAGGGCTTAGGTAGCGAGCGGCATCTACGGATCCGAACCTCAAAATCTGATACATCTTAATCCCGAAGCCCCCGGCAGGCCGACCGGTCGGCGGCTCTAGCGGTATGTTTTGGACATTGGGCGGTTGACGCTGACGGGTTTTCTCCCGCCGCAAACCAATCTCAGAAAGAGAGAGGAGATTCCTTCCCTCCCACATACAGTGGTTAATAAGGGGCTAGACACTATGTTGATACTTTACCTCAGCTGACCTCCACCCCGCCAACCCGACTGCTTGGCGACTAACGACTGCAGACCAAAGTTTTCTAGACCCCTGAGAAAACGCCGAGAACTTGAACCCCTCAAAACCGGCAGGACAACACATACTGCTAGACTGCATATATATCGGGGTTGGCGGCGGTTGGAGGCTATGGTGATGGCGGAGATGGGGTCTGATGGGGTTTGATGGGGTTTGATGGGCGAACATGGGACCCCATTTTCTTGATCATATGGTACTTGTGAGTTGATATGGGCATCTCCTCTTCCCCGCGGATCTGGATGGATGTCGCCATAGGTACGGTATGTCGCCAACTGGGACGGTGGATGGGGCAAGATGGGGAATGGATTATCGATGGATATTTCTCTTTTCTCCATGATGGGGTTTCCTTTTTTCTCGGTTCTATTCGGCTAGGGGTTGATATTGTTCAGTAGTGCACACTACATCAAAGACTTTTCGTTGTTGTTTACACAGTAGTGTTGTTCGAGCCTTTGAAGCCTCGTTCTAGAGTCTTGGGAGTTGCAGGTTCGTGGCTCCATTCCGAGATCCCGAAGACCCTAGTTAGTATAGACATCTGATAGACAAGCATGTGATGCCATGCCGTGATGCCACTGGATGACATCCGCCTTCTCCGTCTTCGTCTCCGTACCTTCGGGGTTGACGGCAATTCTTGGAGGAGGTTCATTCGAATTTGTTACCGCTGGTTGAGAGACGATCACCTTCACGGCAGTATACACGCATGGACAGCTCCAACAGCGGTGTTCTCCAGCTTTAGAGTTAGTCACCTAGTCTCGTGCCAGTCTGGTCTTTTTCAAGGTCTGGAGAGAGGCGATCTTTTAAGTGGGTGAGTGGTTCCTCTTGGCCATCGGTCTGTGAGTGTCAGCAACAGATTTGGTGAGACTTGCACTCATTCCTGTTAGTGACTTGCACATCCTATGTATGGAGCTACCTAGCTACGTGTACCTACGTATCAGATTTTGCACGCGGAATGCAGTGACCGGGTGTCTTGGACGTCTGGACTCAACTTGGACCCTTTCTTTCCGGAGACAAATTGCACGGGTGGACCTGGTGAGTAGAGTGAGGTAAAGAAAAGGGTACCGTTACGTACCGCCGCCGTCTGATCAAGATGTTGCCGCACCCTCCGTACCTAACAATGATAACCCCCGCCAGTCTCTTGCCAGTTATTGTTGTTGCTGTCTTCGGGTCCGGGTCTCGGTCACTGCACCCGGTTGTTGCGGGGACTCGTTATTGTTTAGCAGTAACATATTGCATACCTGCATAAAAACAGACATCACCGCTGGCTACATGTACTTACATCATTGCTAGGTATAAGTGCAGTTACAGTAGGGCATCGTAGGGAAAGGCCTTCTCGATGATGGAACATTGGGAGAGAAGTGGGTTAAGAGTGATGACCCCTGTCATTCTCAAACAAGGCGGGCTTTGCACGGTGCAGTGACATGGAGTGACGGGCCCTGAAAAGCGGATGGGGGAACCACTTTCCAAGCAAGCACTCAATGTAGGCGCTCCACTTGGGAGCCAGCGCCCGACCCGCCCCGGCCAGGGCACTGGACCTGCGCTGTTCCGCCATCCACCTTGCACTGCACCGAGCATCCACCATCCACGCTGCTTCCCCTTACGCAAGCCGCACCAAGCTGAAGTAATCACAAGGCGCGGCCCCTTGGACACACATCGTCCTCCTTGACTCTTTCGATTTATTGCTTCTCCCTTGTTAAACCTCCAGGTTACTTGTACACCACACCACTCCCAGTTCCTGTCAAACCGTCAACGACGACCCGGTTCCTTGAGATAGAAGTGGTCCAGGCGACTCCCCTTTCTCCCGCCGCACCAACACACTCATCAGCCAACCTCAACGGCCCAACTGAAGCGACCCAGCCATCATCTCATCCGACCGTCTCCTGTCGTCGTCGTCTAGGTCACAGACACCTTGGCGACCAGCCCACTCTCCACTAACAAACACCCGCTTTTCTTTCGTCCGACCTCCACGACCGCAACCCACGCGACTCCTATCACGATCGATATCTAATCTCGATTTCTGTTTGCCTTGGTCTTACGGACACCCGTTAGGCACACCGACGCACTGCCTGTTCCGTGTGTCGAGGAGTCGAAAAAGGGGCTGCGGCAAACCGATTCGTGATTCACACCAACCAACTAGTGTATCCATCTTTCGTTACCCTCGGTCAACCATCGACCTCAACTTTGCAACTGCCGCCGAATTTGGACCATCAACAGTTAGTCGGGCAGTCAACCCAGTACATCTGTTGGCTGGGCATCACGACTTGCGCCCTCGACAGCACGAGGATTCATCGTCGACTTCCACATATAGCGTGGGACATACGCACATCGTCATCATGTCGCCGTACGGAAAGCATCAGAGTATCTCTGAAAGGAGAGGCAGTGTCCTCGGGGAAGAGTTGTCGCTCAACACACATAGCGCCAAACTGGCGCAACAACATCGCCCACAACCACCACTAACACCATTAGGCATGAACCCTTCTGCCGACTTCAATCAACAACTCTCAGCCGGCTCACCGCCACCACCTCCCACCCCAGCGGCATCTCCCGGCCCATCACAAACCCAGCCGGACTGGAGTAACGCGGAAGAGGATGAAAGCATAGTCTTGTCCATAATGCGGGAGAATTTCCTCAAGGCTACCACCCCGGAGAAAAAGCGAATACTCGAGGACATTGTGAACATGTGCAACAGCCAACAGCTCAGCTTTATTCTCCAGCTTGTCAGCCCGCGTTTGAAAAAGGACCCAATGATGAGCCTACCCGATGAGTTGTGTTTAAGAGTAAGTCCTGCGTCTGTCGTCTCGGGTGTATGGCCAGTTTGTTAACCCCCCAGATAGGTTCTGTCATTTATCGACGACCCCAAGGACCTTGCAAGAGCTTCTCAAGTGTCTCGCAGGTGGCGGGATCTGGTGAGCGATGACATGACATGGAAGAACTTGTGTTTGAAGCACGACTATCAGCGTAGGCTATCTGAGGTACAGACTTCGATGCAGTACTCCAATTTCCTCCGGCCAGACCCTACGAGCAGCTTTTACCAGCCCTACAGCGCCCCCGCGACCTCAGTCACTTTCGACGACGCATCGAGCCTGCGGAGACCCAGGTCATACAAGTCGCACTTCAAACAACGATATCTCGTGGACGCCGCCTGGCGGACAGGGGGACGCAACATTACCAAAAACATCACCCAGGAAGGCGGTGTAGTGACCAGCCTCCATCTTACCAAGAAGTACATCATTGTAGCTCTCGACAACACCAAGATCCATGTGTTCGACACGGAAGGAAACGAACTACGAACACTCAGGGGCCACATGATGGGTGTCTGGGCGATGGTTCCTTGGGACGACGTCTTGGTCAGTGGTGGTTGTGACAGAGATGTTCGTGTGTGGGATTTGACGACGGGGTAAGTTACACCGGTTTCCTTTCTAACCAGTACCAGGACGCCCTGCTAACATGTACCCAAGTGTCTGTATGCATACACTCCGTGGACATACTTCCACCGTCAGAT